CTTCCCTTATATTGCCTGTGAAGAAGAAAGGTCCGCCTTTCGAAAGCGCTCCGGTTATAGGGTTTTTATCATCTTCCATCAAGATTTCTTGAGCCTACGTGTTTTTCTGACATCGTGAATTATATTTTTTTTAAATATCGACAAAACAACGCTACCATCAGCAGGAGTAAAAGTCTACGTGAATAGTGTGTTTTTACAGAAGAATGGTTGGCCTCACTGTCACCAGGGTGACATGAATACTGCAGGTTCAGTATTTCTCTCCAACATTCGGTATTATTACCAGCCAACCCATTATCCCTATTTAACAAATGATTATTTAATTTACAACATATAATTTAAATAGATTATCTGATATTAAACTCATTTATTTTATTGGGTTAATTTTAAAATGTTTTATGCCACTGTCTTGAGTGACATGTTTCTGTAACGTGTTCGGCCAGCGGAGAAATTAACATATTTATTACGTACATAAACTTTATGTGGTATTTCAAATTATATTTACTTTCACCAATATATTTTTTTGTTACATTCGCATTTAATTTGATATATACTTTTTTTTTTTTGTTAGAATATCTTTTTTTATCTTTAGGGTTAGGAACATTTGTGTTAATTTTATTAAATGACTTAAAAAAAAGGAGGAAACAATTGTTTCCTAAATACGTTGGCCACTTGACTAGTTATACCCTTTACATATTGTTACTACAGCGGAAGTCACGTGACCCTAGTAACACGTGATGAGTATCTAGAATATTCACGAAGAGACGAGATGTACGCTTTTATAGTATATAAGCCGGCAAATAAAGTGACGTCAAGAATTGAATTGCAGACAGAGATATATAGAGACAGATAATCGAGTTCAGCCGTAAGTAAAGTGCGTGAATCGTTGTGAATTCTAGCGTGTGTTTAAGTTAAAGTGACTGTGGAAATTAAGTGTATTGCAAAGTTGAATTGAGAAAGAATAAACTAGTTTTATTTAAGAAAGGACTTGTATCGCTGAAGTTTCTCGGGAAGAATTTCTACGGGAAATTAACAAACGAACAGTGACGTAACAAATCGGTGTCAGAGAGTGGGACGGAAAAAAAAGAAAATGAAAACGAGAGGTGGCAAATCAAACTACAGCTTAGCAGATTTGATGGCAGCAATACAAGAACAGCAAAAGAAACATGAAGAACGAGAAAACAAACAAGAAGAGAGATTACAGCAGCGGCAAGAAAACCTGCAACAGTGGCAGCTGGAACAGCAAAATAAACAAGAGGGATTACAGCAGTGGTTGGAAGAGAAAGAAAATGAACAAGAAGAGAGACTACAGCAGTGGTTGGAGGAGAAAGAAAATGAACAAGAAGAGAGACAACAGCAGTGGCAACTGAAACAAGAGAGGAAACAAGAAGTACAAATGGAAAATATTAGTAAATTTCAAAGTGAATTAATTACATTAAAGGATGATTTACTGTCTTTTACACAAGGAGGATATATTAGCCGTGGACGTAATCAGCTTCAGACAATGGGAAGCCCCTTACAGACCCCGCAGCTAAACCCTAATGCAGACATCTTCAGTCCTGTCAGAAGTCACATTCCAGACATGAGTGTCAACAATAGGGGTGATCTAGTAGGAAGGAAGCCACAGGAATTCGATGGTAAGCATATAGAGCACAATTTGAGCTACTGGCAGAAATGAATGAATGGACAGAGGAGCAGAAAGCAGTGTTCCTTGCAATGAGCCTGAAGGGACAACCACTGGAAATACTTGGACAGTTGTCAGCAGACGACAGGCACAACAATAGAGCACTGGTAGCTGCTCTAGAACTCAGGTATGGAACTCAAAATCAGTCCGAAGTCTACAGGGCTAGGCTTAGGACTAGAGTCTGTGCTAAAGGGGAGAGCCTACAAGAGCTGGCAAATGATTTGGAAAGTATGGCACACAAGGCCTACCCAACTACGCCACTCACTACGATGTCCTCAGGCTGTTGCTCAGGGATCAGTTTGTTGACACCTTGGACAGTCCACAACTGAAAATACAAGTAAAGCAAGCACACCCTTCTACTATGCAGGATGCAATGGCCAGAGCTCTTGAATTCGAATCCTATGTTAAGTCCAGTTACGAAGGTTAGTACAGTCATAGGGATTAAAGGCCAGAAAAGGGGATCTTTCAGAGAAGTTTGAGGTACTTTGCTGGCATTGAAACAAACTGGAACACAAGAGAGCTCATTGTCGGCAACTTCAACACAGGGAAGATTCCATGGCAGGAAAGGCTTCTACCCAGAAAGGTTGTTGGAATTGTGGAGAGCAA